TTTTCGACTGCTGTCGATCAACGATGTCATTAATGGCAACGTATATGGAGTGATCATTTTTTAGAAGAAATTTATAGGCAAGGGAAAAAGCGATTTTTATTTTCAAATAAAATACTTCTCGATTTCTATAATTTAATTTTTCATTTTCAATAGTATTTTTATTTTTATATAGTTATGCTTCTCAAATTAATGTTGTTGTTCCTAAACGACTTACGAATAAAAAATAAAAAATATACATTTACTTATAAATTATAAATGTTTTGTTTGTAATAGAAAAAAAAAAAAATAAAATATGGCTAGGGAACTCTTAATAATACATTGGTTTTAACTATTATAATTTGTATCTAATTCTGAGCAAATTTCCTTTACTAAACTACAACGTTTGTTATATTTAGTGTTCATTTCATAAAATTCGTTTTGCAAAAATAACCACACGTGACTTGATTCATATGGATATTCAAGATTAAAAACGTAGAAAAGCTTAAGACAAATACCGATAACATTCAAAACAAAAAACAACTTGTATTTAACATCATCGAAATATATTATTATTTGTTTATTGTTTAATAATGAGCCAATAACTACGCTAATTAGGGGAAACGCTATCATTGTCACATTGCCCATATACACACGAGTAAGTTTAACAAATGATCGATTTTTACTCCCCATAGTGTAGAAAACTTGTACCGACTTGCGCCATTTGACCAGACTTTCAATGGTTTTCTGCTAAATCTTGAGCCTGAAGACATGGTCGGTCATAAGATAATAATGATAGGAAATTGAATTGAATTTCAGTACATGGTGAGATGGAGAAATTATGTCTTCTGGTCACTAGCAATAGATTCAAATGTGATGTTGGCGTACATGCGTGGTGAGATGGTCGTGGATTATTTGGAAAATATTATTAGAAAGATTCAAGGATTCATCCTTTTATCCTCTTGGTGAGGTTACTTAGGTTAGGTTGGTATATTTTAAAAATAATAATTATAATAATTATTATACTCACACGTGCAATATACAAAACGACTGTGTTGTTGAAATTAAATGTCTTTACGGAGGAATGAGAGTGGGCGCAACAATTTATTATTTGATTGTCATGACAGATCAGCTATTTAATGAATAATAGTTTTAGTTTGTAAAATTACCAATTATTAAGGTCCAGTAATTTCACTTTTCGTTTAATATTTTTTTACGACGATCTGCATGATTAAACATGAATCAATGATTTTTTTTTCCAATTTATTATGGTCCTCAAATATTATTTTTATATGTATAACAATAATATTTTTTTTAACGATTATTTTTATAATGTATTAATTATTATACATATATATATTTTTTTTAATTATTTGATGACTTAAACAACACAAATTGTACAAATAATTGACTTATGAATAATGATAACAAATAAATGTATTATGTGTTTCCTCCTTTATAAAATGTTGTCGACTTATTTATTTCTACCTAATATAAACGCAAGTACAATATGATTGGTACAAAAAAACGAATTTTGCTGAGTTCAGCTTCAGGATCTCAGATATACTACACTTAAAAGTAAGAATAAGGTTATAATTGTGTTAATTCCAATTTAAAGGTTTAACGTAAAAGAAACATACAAAATGTATAGTTTCCGATAAATAGTAGGTAAATAGTAATTGAGTGCTCTAATAATATTATTTTTGCCCATATATCGGTTCGACCTTTGCAAGGAGGATACACATACGTACTTGTACAAAATTACACACCAGCCTAAAATTATTTAGGGTAAATGCCACAAAAAAAAAAAATATATATTACACTACTCGGTCGGTAAACTATTTTAAAACAAAAATAGGTATGTTTATGTGTTCATGAAATTTGAACTTAAACTGTTAAGTCATTATAACTGTTTACCTACTACAATCCGGTCGTTGTTCCGGCTGCATACTACAATCCAAGTTGAGTGACGTGCTTCGGTTTGGTTTTGGTTTTACTTATGTTTTCAAATTCTCGGTATATCCTAATCATTCATGTTGTAATGTATCTGAAAAATTATAACGATGTACAGTTAATCCCACACAGTTATTATAATACTCATACCTATATAGAAAAAAAAAATATATATATATATCTTTAATCCTCGTAATGATTATGCCACAATTTCGATTCTTAGAAGTGTTGATCATGCTATATTATTAAATCAATAAATGTACCTAAATATCTAATATTGTATTATTAAAGTTAATAATAATAATGTAATGTGATAGAATTAATAATGTGTATTATAATAATAAAATATTAATATAATAGATCAATGTTTTCGGCTGAATTTAATAATTTTCATAACGTGATAACAAATTCGTTTTTCTAGCTCTACACATTATTTATTTAAAAACTATTGATTTCTTGGCGCTCGTGTACTAATATGTAAAGTGCCAAAGCCGAAAATGTGAGCTATTGAAGTATTGGGAGTCATTGCAGATTGGTGTTTGTCCTATTTACAATTCTACCTAACATTCAATCTGTTTCAAATTTCAAGTAAGCTGTCTTAACATACTTTATCGATCAGCCATTATCAGACAGCTGATTTATATATTAATTTATCGGAGACTTAGACGAGTGGATACAAACACATCACATCCTCTTCTTCTCTCTCAGATTACGCGGCAACAAGTTTGGTTACATTTGCTTTTAGCAAAGAGTAATTTTGTACACATTTCTGTCTCACACTTTTAGTATGTGTTCGATTAACCTAGTTCCAGTTTCACTATTTAGATTTAAAAATGCCTCCACAATGTATTGTAAGTCAAAAAGGCAACAAGTAATTATTGCATAATGGATACCTTCATATGTTCTATAAAAAAGTTGTAAACAAGTTAATTTGGCGTTGTTCTGAGTACAAAACATATAAATGTACTTCATGCTATACAATCACTCGAAAAGAAATAGGTAATTATTAAGGCCGGGATTTAGTTGTATCATTTACTAAAAATTAACCATATAATCTACACATTACAAAACGTTAACATTTATAATAAATTTTAAATTTTATAACGTCTTAACATAATATACAACTTAATATAAATTAATACAACTTAACTAAATTAACTCTTTTTTAATTTTTAATTTAATTTCAGGCGATATAATAAATACATAAATACATAGGGTGACCAAATCGTAACAACTGGAGACGCTAGGCCCAGTTTTATTTTTGTATGTGGAACTGTTACTATTCAGTACTTAAACATCAACCACGGACCAATAACGTTGAAGGTTCGCATCATGCGTTTAACAGTGCACTTACTTGCAGCAAATCATGTTACGATTTGGAAATTTATAAATTTTCTTAAACAAGAACAGTCATTACAAGAAGTATTTTATATAATATTTATGTATTTAATAATATAAATAATCATTGATAGTAAAAATTGGTGTTTTTATCAATTATCATATTGTCCAGATATTTAGGCTGAATAAAAGTTAAAATGTAAAAAAAAATTCTGCTTGAGAATGACATTTTAGTTAAAACTATATGTTATGTTGAATAATGATGCTTATGATAAATTTTAAAGATCCAGACCATAGAGTAACAACTAATAGGTAATACAAATATAAATTAAAATAATTATTTATTATAGTTATAATTATTTATTTGTATCTTTTTTAAACAATCAGCTCTAGTATATAGAAAATATTAATACAAATTAAAAATTATAATGAACAAACTAGATATAAAAAAAAAAAAAATTAGTACTGTTGTTCCTAAACAACTTACGAATACAAAATAAAAAAATACTTATAAATCATAAATGTTTTGTTTGTAATAGAAAAGAAAAAATTAAAATATGGCTAGGGAACTCTTAATAATACATTGGTTTTAAATATATTAATTTTCATCTAATTCTGAGTCAATTTGCTTTACTAAACTACAACGTTTGTTATATTTACTAAATATAAGTATATAGGTACTTATTATTGTATCATTATGTATCAAGTACTTGGAGAAGATATACAAATAGTACATTTTAAAATGAAAAAACACACGCCTATAGTGAAACTAATTAAATAGTGGCTAAACCTGTGATAACACTCATGTTATCCTAGACCAGTGAAAGGTCAACTATTAAAGGTTAGTAATGACAAGAATGTTTCCAACAAATTTCCGACATCGATATCGTTTTGTATTGTATGATATATCGTGATATCAAAAATAATATTTTTTCAGAAAAAATACATGGTATTTACTATTTTACATTTGTATATTATAGCTATAATAAATTAATAAATAATAATAGCCATTAGCTGATAACGTTTGATGCACAAGTTCCGGTGAAATGTCAATTATTGTACAATTTTTCTAGGATACAGCTATCACAGTTATCACAAAAGGGTTAACATAAAATATAAAAATGTAAAACAAATGTAACAAAATGTATAACAAATTTATTATAAATAAAAATAACTAAGTAATAAGTAATAACTTATAAGTATGTTTAATAATAAATAATTAATATTAATAAATACGAAAAGTTTTTTTAATTGTTTAGGTAAGCATAAAATTATATTTATGATACGATATCGATATCGTAGAAATAACGATATCGCAATACAATATCGGAAAACTCTGAACGATATCGATACAGAAAACTATATCGTTGCCAAACACTAGTTATTATTGTATCATTATGTATCAAGTACTTGGAGAAGATATACAAATAGTACATTTTAAAATGAAAAAACACACGCCTATAGTGAAACTAATTAAATAGTGGCTAAACCTGTGATAACACTCATGTTATCCTAGACCAGTGAAAGGTCAACTATTAGAGTTTAGTAATGACAAGAATGTTTTTAAGAAAAATAATGTAATAAACGTTTTTCCTGTCATCTTTTAAGTAACATAGTTTTTATTTCATAATTCTAATAATGAAATAACTAACAAGAACATTAAGATAATAAAACGTGGCGCAGTCGTAGAAGAACACTATAACAAAACCACGATTGAAACGGATAAAGACAAAATGGAGTACAGTACACCTCATGAGCTGTCCTTTAGTGGTAATGTTGCACAAAACTGGAAAGAGTGGTATCAACAATTTAATATTTATTTAATAGCATCTAGTAAAGACGAAGAGAATGACATAAGAAAAATTAATATCTTATTGAATTTAATTGGTCCACAACGGGTTAAGATTTATAATAACTTTAAAAAGAAAGAAAAAACTAATTTTAATACGGTAGTACAAGCATTCGATCAATACTGCGAACCAAGAAAGAATATAATATTTCAAAGATACAAGTTTGGATGTTGTATACAGCAAGAGGGCCAAAGCTTTGATGATTTTCTCACTGAATTAAAAACACTAGCTGCTACTTGTGACTACAAAGAAGATTATAACATGAAGAGAAAAAAGAGGTCCATGAAACGCATTATGGTGAGGAGGAGATGTTTCAAATCGATACAATATATAATGTGCATCAGATTAATAGTAGTTTGATAAAAACAATAAGAGTGATTAATAAGAATATAACATTTAAATTGGATTCAGGAAGTCAGTGGCGTAACTGAGAATGTTTGATGGGAGGATCAAAATAAATTTGTAGGGTAAACTTGTGGGGGCCTTTTCCCCCACGGCCCACACCCCCTTATCTATATTTTGTATAATTTAATAACTCAACACATGTAAATATAATCATTCTATATTACATAACATTATACATTTACAAATATGTTTTAAAATGTTTTAATATTTTACAATATTATGTCCAGGTTCCTAGGCTTTTTGGCAAGTTCATCAATGACCTCTTCATTTGAAAATGTAATATCATTATAAATTGCCAACATTGCCAGACCATTAAGTCTTTTCTACAAAAAAAATTAAAACATTTTTCTCATTAGATATTATGAAAATGTATTTTATTAAGCACAGGTGCACAGCTATTATAATTACTAACCTCGGACATACTGTTTCGAAGATACGTTTTTTTCCTTTTAAGACTGGAAAACATTCTTTCAGGCGTACTTGTAGAAACAGGAAGTGTGCATAGTATTTTTAAAATAAAATGCACATTTGGATAAATATTGGAATTACACACATGTAATGCTTCAATTGCAGTTTTCGGAATATTGTTTATCCGCTCAAGTTTTATCTTCCACAATTTCAATTCTGCAATTGAGTTGTTCACATCCAAAGAAGGTGAATAAAATTCAAGTAATTTTCTAAATGATACCTCCTCATTAGAAGTTAATGTATAGGAAAATAGACTTTGAAATCCTATAAAATATGACATATATACATTATACATAAACCATTAAAGGTTGATTTTAATAATATAGATTGATTATATGAATATTTTATTTCAGTGATTTGTTTTTAATTTTATAGAAACTAGGTACCAATTTAATTAAAAATGATAATAAAAATTTAATTTAATACCTTTAAAAATTTCAGAATGGATTGAAAATAATTCTCCTAGTTGTTGTATAAAAAAGTCCAGGTAGGGTATAAATACTGACACTTTGTGGTATTCTTCAACACTTAAATTGGGATCTGGATTTGCTCGATTTACTTGTCGTTTAGATATTCTTTTAGTACTCAAGTCTATATCTATAATTACTGACATATCCTATTACAAATGTGGGAACATTCCAAGGAAATTAAACCTCGACCACAGATGAGATCTAATAAATGAAATGTTGAGTCGTATGAAGGTCATTAGATAGAGAGCCGATAGGAGATAGGAGAGTACCACATACAGTTGTAGATAGGTTTATAATTAAGTTAAAAGAATTATTAGAAAAATGAATTGTGTCTTTTGTTGAAAAGCCAACTGACTGGTTAAACAACATAGTTATTATTGTATCATTATGTATCAAGTACTTGGGGAGGATAATGCAATAGTACATTTTAAAATGAAAAAACACACGCCTATAGTGAAACTAATTAAATAGTGGCTAAACCTGTGATAACACTCATGTTATCCTAGACCAGTGAAAGGTCAGCTATTAGAGGTTAGTAATGAAACAAATACATTGCGGAATTTAGAGGTAAAGCCATCCAAATCAAATCCGAGTCCTCAATTAAATCCTTAGAAAAAATAAATCGTATAAATTCGGATTTGACATCAAACAGCTATAGAAGGAAACATAACGAAAAAATGCGATATGTTTGTAATAGCTGTGATAAAGCTTTTTCTAACAAACAAAATTTAAAAATACATGGAAAGATATGTACCGGAGAGAGGTCGTATGCATGTATTAGCTGTGATAAAGCTTTTTCTAACAAACAAAATTTAAAAAGACATGGAAAGATATGTACCGGAGTAGCCGTCACCACATAAAAACGGTCCTTTTCAGGACCACCAATCAGCGGACAGTATGATAGCACAAGCCACACACACTAACGTTAGGAACAATAACTAGGCCCCAAGTAACAGCACAACAAAAACAATAGGAGTTACATATAGGGGAGAGTCAGACGAATCTAACGACACCCTCCCCAAGTAAAACCTAAACCTAACCCAACAAACGGATAGCTCACAATCGGGTGTAGGGTGTTGCATAATGCAAGACAATAACCCAAATTTCATATGCATCAAGTAGCTTAACCGAAACTGAGAAACAGTGGCCTCAAATTGAAAAAGAAATGAATGCAATATTATATGCTTGTACAAAATTTCATGATATCATCTATGGTAGACGTATAACGGTACATACTGATCATAAACCAATTGTTTCTATCATGAATAAAGAATATAATAAAATTAAGAATAATAGGTTAAAAAGAATAAAAACCTGTTGAAAGTTAGCTATATATGACCTAGAAGTGAAGTATCTTTCAGGTAAGCAAATGCACATTGCAGATTATCTAAGTATAGACTATATTATTAAAAATATAAAATATGATATTTCAATTAATGATGTTGTACATAGTCTTAATTCAGAAAAAAATACAGTTTAGTGATGAAAAACTGTTACAATTTCAAAAGGAGACTATAAATCATCCCTGTCTGAAAAAAGTAAGGCTATATTACAATAACAATTGGCCTAGTGATAAAACTAAGTTACCATTTAAAGGAGAACTATATAATTTTTGGAAATTTAGAAATGATATAACAGTAAACAATAATTTGATTTATCTCAATGACAGATTCATTGTACCTTTTCAATTAAGAGCATTCATACTAAGTAATACTTAGTAATTATTACTTCATGAAACCCACATAGGTATGACTAAAACCGTTAAAAGAGCCAGGTATTATTATTATTGGCCTAATATGGCAACTGACATAGAAAATTGTATAAGTAAGTGTTCATTGTGTGCCAGATATCAAAGTAAAAAGTTTAAAGAGCCCTTATTAAATCATTCAATTCCTGACAAACCATTTATTAAAATAGGGGTAGATATTAGTGAATATAGTGGTGTGTCATATTTAATTATAAATGATTATTCCTCAAAATGGCTAGATATCAAAAAACTAAGCAGTAAATCAGCAGATTCAATAATTAAAATTTAAAAAAATGTATTTAGTTATTTTGGAATCCCAAAATTATGTGTTTCTGATAATGTACCATACAATAGAAAGTAATTTTTAGATTCTGCTAAGGAATGGAAATTTAAAGTAATAAAAACCACTCCAAATTATGCCCAAAGTAATGGGTTTGCTGAGAAAAGTGTAGGGATAGCAAAAAACCATGCTTAAAAAATCTATATTAACAGGTAAAGACATAGATCTTTATTTATTAGACTATAGAAGTACACCAGTTGCAGGTCTTGGATACACTCATTCAGAGTTACTTATGAGTTATGACTAAAAAGATTAAAACAAAATTGCCTATTAATGAGAAATTACTTTACCCTCAAATTCCTATTGAGGCTTATGCGAAAATGTTAGCAAAACAAAATACACAAAATGTCAGTACCTATGACAAAAATGTGAGAATTAAAGAAAACAAATTTGCAGTAAATGACTCAATTAATACGTATACTATATTATTTTGAAGTGGCGGCTAAAAGGATCGCATGTTGGGAATGACACATAATATTAAAGTTAAAGACTACCAAAACGAAAATAATGCATTTAAGAAAGCAATAGCACTGGAACCCGAAAGGATCAGATTACAAAATAAGATAGGGTGGTGAAAAAGTCTATGACATTGAGTAAGACAAGACCCACCTAGGATTAAGATTTTACAACTTTAGCACAAAAACATTGTCAAAATTCATTATTTGTTGTTAATAAAAAAACATATTTAGAACATAATGTGAAACTAATAGTGAAATAATTTTTTTGAAAAACTACCAAAACAAGTTCATTTTACGCTTGTGATGTAATTAATATAATAATATATATAATATATTATATTATATTATATTCTATATAATTAATATCATGGATGGAATTTAATTTGAATTCAATGATATAATATCATTGTATAAGAAAAACGATTCTGAGCAGAGACGGCATGTCAGTCTAGGATTAAGATATACCTTAATTATGACTATATTATGACTTATGACTATTATAACTATTATGAGCAATACCTTTCAAAACCTCGCATATTGGATTATTATTAACATTTTTATATATCTGCATTAATCTAATAGATGAATCATTATATTTTTTTTTTACATGGTACATGCCCAGCAATTATTTGTTCTATTATCATTTTATTTAAACTTTCTTCTTTTTTTAATGACTCAATAGATGTCCAAATAATTGGTCGTGTATGACTTATCATTGCTGAAAACCCATTATGCCAGCCCTCTATTTTATTGTTAGTCCTGGGTAAACTTTCTTGTAACCTATCATAACAGTTCCAGATTTCAATGGAAAATAATGGAGGTCGACGATTACCTCTCTTATCCAAAATGCCAATCCACGTGCCTTCAAAATGTGTTATCAGTGGTGATAACATTTCTTCATTTTCGATATAATATGTGCTTTCTAATAATAATTCAAAAGATTCTATCACTTTATCGACGGGTACAAATGCAAGTGCAGCTAATTTTCGTACTTCTATTGAAAATTGTACATCGTCACTATATTGTTTTGCAACACCATGGTGTTGTATTTGTCTCCAAATTTTGTACATGGTTATGTTCCTCGTATTTTATGACGTTATCTATCTAATAAATAGGTATATAATAAATAATATATTAGAATACCTACACTAAGAAATTAAAAATTTTACCTTGCATTGTATGAGCGCGGCCAGTACAATTTTTAGACTCGTTACATCTCCAAATAACTTTTTCGCCAATAGTTCTTTCACTTTTATGAATAAAACCATCATGAATTAAAAGATCATGCCCTCGTTGACTTTTTATAAATTGTAAAGGCATCATTTTTATATTTTGTAAAATATAATTGTAAAATATATAATAATTGTTATATTGCGTGGACCAAGCAAGACGTATATATACGTAGACGTGTATTATAGGTGGTACTGTATAACACTATAATCGATAGAGAGTACTGAGTAGAGACTCGTGATGACTGATGAGTAGGTACACTGTAATAATTCGAATATTCGATAAAGACTCGCGTAAAAACCAATGATAACTAATGATAAAGAAGGTACTACACCACTACCACTGAATTATAAAGATACGATAGAACTATTATATATATTATATTATTAAATGTTATAAAAAAAAAAAGACACTGTAGATAATCTATTTTATCTTATACTAGCTATATACCTATACAAATATATGCGATAAAATGACGCGCGACCAAATGTAAATGCGTCGATATTACACCCGACGAAATGTCGTATGCGTCCAATTGACCGCGACGAATTGACGTGCGACAAAATTACTGGGACGAAATGACGGGATACCCAAGTTAATAAACCTTCGTCGGGCACACTGCAACAAGTGCATCCATAAGACTTGTGTGGAAGTTGGCAGTTGGCACACCGAATTCATCGTATCGTCTCCAAACTAGTACCTAATTGTTTTTTTTAATTTAAAAAAAACAAATTACTAATACCTAGAGATGATAAGCGATTACAAAAGTGTATGCATTTGTTAGCTAGGTATCCCAGTTTTTTAATCATCTAGTCAAATCAAATTACGCACACATTAGTAGTAACTACTAACTAGGTAGCACTTAGTAACACTGATTATATACTATAATCATAACCCAATGGTAGTAGTAAGTTAATCTACCTTTTGAATTCTATTTGCATTTATTTATATGGCAAATTTATTACCTCTGTGATTTCTGTGATTTTTTAATATTGATACCTATACAAATTAAATTATTAATTTTATATCACACCGAAGGTGATCTAATGAGAGTTATTTGGGTGATATATTTGCTAAAAACGACGTATTTTTTGTACTCAGTGATGATTTTTTCTATAATGTAACAGAAACGTATGGTATGATCGTGATTTCCGTTGAGCGAGTTGTTATTGATGCCGCACGTCGTCGCAACGGCCGCCGAGCCGTATAATGTAATAATGATAATAGTCATTACTCATAATCATATTAATATAGTCATATATATAGGCCTAGTGTCTACTACTGGTCGTACACGCACAACCTGCAGCGAAATTTGACAAGACATTTATGACGTGTAAATGTGATATCAATAATGTTGCGCCGGCGGTT